TTGTGGCACCAGAGCTCTCTGACAGAGAAGGCTCAATGTTTCAGAAAAAAACACATTCAGATGTAGAGAAATTGGGATGAGGCATCAAAGCTCCATAGTGTCCAAACTGAAGCAGTGGAGAATGCATAAATGTTAGCATTGTTAAATTAATAAATGTTAAAATATTGCTTTCTTTTAAGAAAAGTGTTTCTTTACTCCTTGTAGTAACCTGTGAATATATAATCTTTTCACTATCATCATTTCTTCTATAATGTCATGTTTTTACACCAATAAGTTAAAAATTTGGAAAGAGTGCTGGAAAGTACTTCCAGGGATGGGGTGAGGTGCTTCAGAAGGTTTTCTACCTCTTGTACCAAAATGAAGAAAGGGGAAAATTTGGTACTAGGGGACAAGGCTGGCCCAAGAAATGTTACTGCCTGAAGCAGAACAGCCAATGGTGCCCTCTCCCTGGTCAGTGTACATAATACTCAAAGTCAGACAATTTATTTTGGTACAAGAGGTAGAAAACCTGAAGCACCTCATCCCATCCCTGGAAGTAACTGTACAATAAGGATGGATGGCATATAATGATATACACTGGCATACATCCTTCTTTTTGCTTGCAAGGGAAGGAATTCAACACTCCATCTCTTATTGCAAAATCTTATCCAACAAAATTAAATAATTAACAGTTGAATGCTCTTTTGAGACACCCAAGGACTAGTTTTACATTAGGACTGCCACAAGAATTTATCACACTAATCTTCAAAAACATGACAGAAGCAAACAGTGGTGGGTCCCATGTCAATGGGGTGGTGAATCAGTTCTAGGGGCTAGTCTGAATTTCAAAGGAGCTAGCTAAGGTGTTGAAAGAAATCCCCAAAATAGATTTACCACCTTGGATACCTCCTTTAAAATATAGACAAAAACCAAAAGGAAATTTACTGCTTCACTGACAGTTGCCATAAAATATAGAGATGAATACCTAAGGGATAGCTAATGAGCCTTTAGCCCACCAGATGTTTTGGACTACCCTCCCATAATCCCTTCCATTGCCCACGATGGCTAGAACTTCTGAATGATGAACTCCAAAATATCTAGAGAATGAAAGGTTCTCCCTGACTTGGATACACTAGTTATCACCACTGGCTCAGGGTTTCTCCTTTTCCAAAGCATAACATCAGAGATAGGGCACTGTTATTAGCAGGCAATGTCACAGAATACACAATGAGCATATGATTTATTTGCAGAAAGCCAGTTTCAGTCTCCAGCATCTTCAAGTTCAACTAGGAAAAGTTCCTCTCTGAACCTTGGAGAGATACTAACCGTCAGTGTACACAGTCTAAACCAGGGGTAGGCAACCTTTCCCCTTTAAGGGCCGAAGGACTTCAGCTCCCAGAATCCCAGGAGCTATTGGCCAACATGGGACTATTGGCCAACATGGCTGAGACTTCTAGGAGCTGAAGTCCCTCAGCCCTTAAAGGGGAAAGGTTGCTTACCCCTGGTCTAAACTGTACCACTGGGTCTTGTGTCAGGAGAAAAGTGGGATATAAATCAAATCAAATCAAATTGATCAATCAATGAGCTAGAGGGCATCAATGTCCTAATTTGCTATGAAGCAGTTCCCTGTGTGATCATATAAACCAGGGGTAGGCAACCTTTCCCCTTTAAGGGCCGAGGGACTTCAGCTCCCAGAATCCCAGGAGCTATTAGCCAACGTGGGACTATTGGCCAACATGGCTGAGGCTTCTGGGAGCTGAAGTCCCTCGGCCCTTAAAGGGGAAAGGTTGCCTACCCCTGATATAAACATCCTTACGTACATCAGTGATCATAACTTTAGTAGTGCTTGTGTCACTATATTGAATCCTGGGGCTGCAACTCCCATCAAAATGCATGGCCAAATAGTGTATATCCATCTCTTCAGTTTCTTGCATACCCTCACTACTTGTTTCCTCATGCACCTGTCCTCCTTTACATCTACTCTTAACCATAGCTTGGAAGAATTAGGTTTAGGGGCTACATCTCCCAGAATCCTGGGACTTTTCTGGCTGGAGTTGTAGATCAAAGGCAACTTTTCCAACCTTGTTCTTGAATCTGTTCCATGAAATCTGTCCCTTTCAGTTAAATCAAAAACAGACCAGCAGGCAAGATAGATGACAGCAAACCCAACAGTGTTTTCAAGATTCAGAGAAGTGACTGTGGAAACATGAATGGTGGGCTAAGCTCACATTGCCTAAAGATGTCTGGACCCTTGAGACATACCACTGTATTGCAGACTTAGATCCAAAACACAGTCACTGAAGAAATAATCCAGTTTGAGACCGCTTTAATTGCCATGGCTCAGTGCTAGGGGATCCTGGGAACTGTAGTCTATTGTGGCACCAGAGCTCTCTGACAGAGAAAGCTAAATGTCTCACAAAACTACAGTTCCCAGAATTCCCTAGCATTGAGCCAGGGCAGTTAAAGTGGCCTCAAACCAGATTATTTCTGCATTGTGTTTTGGACCTTAGAAATCCACATAGGGGCACGTCACATTTTGGTGGATGCATTTTCCTTCATTTCAGAAGATTCTATTTATGTTGCTGAAAAGGATGAAACTTAAGTGGCATTACAATATGTAGTCATTTCCATTTCAGCAAACCAAGAGAGAGAGCTTGGAAATGCTACTCAGAACCCTAAAGTGTTACTCATTTCTCCTTATTTTTACATGTAGCCCATTATTCACCACAGATAATGATTATGCAATGTATTAATAAGATGTTACTGTAAACATTTTTTTCAAAAAAATCAACCATAAAACATGGTACTACCTCACAAGTTATAGAACAGAAACACTGGGGCTATGGCCCCATCATTGGGGTGAGGTTGCAGTAATAAGTAAATGTTACTTGCAGCATGAGATCTTGTAGCAGTCTACTTCCTCAAGTGTTGCTTGTTATACAAAAACTGAAAGATTTCTGGAGTTTATCATAAGGAGGTTTTAAAGTAACCATGTTGCCCCTCATCAGTACAGAAGTAGTTTTGCAAGTAGCATTGTCACTTTTAATGCATTATTCCCATGATCTGTCACAGGAACAATTTGTGTAAAGAATGTGTAGAATGTTTACTGATTTCACCAGTGGTAGTCCCTTCTGCAATGTATACCTTTTTTCCTGCGGTTTTTCCTGCGGCTGTGAAGCAGCAGCGTCCCTAGGGGGGTGCAGGGGGTGCGGGCTGCACCAAGTGACACCCTAAGGGAGATGAAACCCACTGTTCCCCAAACTCTGCCTTTGGCAGAAACAGCCTGTGCTGCTTTTTTTCTCTCCTCTGCCTTTAAAACACTGGTGCTACTACTCAGCAGAAGAGAAGGGCCTGCTCCTTTCTCCACCTGGTCAGCTTCCAAAGCTCAGAGTCCTTCTGAGTGGCAGAGCTCCTGCTTTCTCTCCCACCAACTGCAGCCCAGCCTGGAGCAGAGGGGATACGCTCCTTCCTCTCCCCCCCCCCAACTGCCAATAGGGGCTGAATGGAGAGATCTTCCTAGATAAGAAAGGTTGGGAGGGAAACTGGAAAGTTGGACAAAATTGGGTTGCTTTTTGTTTCAGCGGCTTTTTCTAGCCCATCTGCTTTCTCCACCACCACCCCCAGCTATAAAGTTGGGGGGGGCAAAGCTCCATGTGTGGGCTTGAATCTGGGCTGCACTAGAGTTTCATTCCCCAGCAAAATGAAGGGCTGGTAGGTGTTTTGCTCTGTGTGTGCGTGTGTGAGAGAGAGATTGAAATTGGGCTGCACAAGAAGCCTTCCCCCATCCTGCATGCCAAGAGAGTTTCAAAACTCACCCGTACCCCAACAAAATGAGGGGTTGGTAGGCATTTTGCTCTGTGTGTGTGTGTGTGAGAGAGAGAGAGGACTACAAATCCCAGGATTCCTTTGATTGAGTTATGAAAATTAAATTGGCATCAAACTGCTATAATGGTGTGGTATGCATACATCTTATCTTGAACATAATTGGAGCAATTCAAAGACCAAGCCATGAAAATCAGTCTGCAAAGGGACCTTATAGCACCTTTGAGACTTACTGTGAGAAAGAAGCTGGTAGCATTGAAGTAAATTCTTCCCCTTTTTCAAGCAGTGATTGGTCCCAGCTAGAGTAGACCCATTCAGTCTATGAGACATATATAAGCCTTGACTTAACTAGTCTTACTACTTCAGTGGATCTGCTTTAGTCATAACTTAAAGGGGTTGTCTTCCCAATTATATGCTTTTCATTATGTGTACGAATTCACAATCCTGGGAAGCTTCTAGAGTAGAGATTGTTCAGGTGAACCTGTTTACTTTCTTTACTACAATTGTAGAATTGTAATTGGAGAACTGTGTAAAAGCAATATATACAGTCGTCCCTTGGTATCTGCGGACTTGACATTCGCGGTTTTGATGACTCGCAGATGGCAAGCCTGCACTGTCCCCAATGGCAGCCGCACCATCATTGGGGACAATGGTACACTCCTCCCTCCCTCCCTTCCTCCCTCCCTTCCTTCCCTCCTTCTTCCCCCTGGCACTGGGGCTGCCAGGGCCTGTAATCTGCACCGGCTACCATGGGGACTCGCTTTCCCAGCAGCGCTCAGGACTCAGCGTGCGCACTCCCCACCCCCATCCACTGTAGGCAAATGGAGGTAACGCATGCCTATTGCCTGCAGCAGAAGGGGACAGAGCGTGTGCATGCTGGGCCCCAAGCGCCACTGGGAAAGCAAGTCCCTATGGCGGCCAGCATGGATTACAGGCCCCAGCAGCCCCAGCACTGGTGGAAAGAAGGGAGTAAGGGAGGGAGGACTTGTCCCATTGTCCCCAATGGCAGCTGCCATTGGGGATAATAGGACTTAACTATTTGCGAAATTTGGTATCCGCGGGGAAGGGGTCCGGAACAGATCTCACACGAATACCAAATTATGACTGTATAGATTTATAGAACTATAGAACAGCGTGCTTTTGAACATATTTTGAGCCTAAGGATATATTTCTTGATTTTAATTTTAAATGTGTTGAGAGCCAGTGTAGTGCAGTGGTTTGAGTGTTGGACTGGGACACCTGAGACCAGGATTTAAATCCCTGTTCTGCCTTGGAAACCTGCTAGGTGACCTTGGGCAAGTCACACTCTCTTAGCCTCAGAGGAAAGCAAGGGCAAACCCCTTCTGAGCAAATTCTGTCAATAAATTCCTGTAGTAGGTTTGCCTTAGGGTCAACATAACTCAGAAATGTCTTGAAGGCACACAACAATAACAACAACAACAGATTTCAAATGGAGTACAGTCCTTTTACAAGTTACTCCTGGTTACTGCAAGCTTTCCCCCCATTTCGGAATGAATGTGGATAGTAAAAATACAATTTATTATTGCTTCTCTTAGACATTTGAGTCCCAGAACTCTTGCCAACATTTTTGTAAGTTTGCCAGATACCTAGCAGTAGATGCTGATCCACCTTAAACATACCAGTTCTTGTTCTAGAGCTGTAATTCCTAAAAGCTTAAATAAGAAGACCATCTTGCAGAAGGGAAAGAGTCCCTTATGAGAACAGAAAGTCTTCAAGCAATGAAATCTTTCAGCTTCAGAGGAAGGTACATCTGATGGCTTCTAAAATGCAGTAGTTTGTGTTCTTTACTAATATATCTGTTGGGTTTAGTACAAAATGACTATCTATAAAAGTTTTATGCACTGTTTCAGCAAAACCAATATACTATTTTAATAAAAATATCCCTGTAGCATGGCATAGTGGTTTGAGTATTGGACTGTGACTCTGTATATCAAGGTTCAATTCCCAGCTTGGCCATGAAACCCAGTGGGTGCTCTTGGGGAAATCACACTCTCTCAGCCTCAGGGGAAGGCAATGGCAACCCTCCTCTGGACAAATCTTGCCAAAAGAACCCCATGAAAGGGTCACCATAAGTTGGAAGGGACTTAAAGGATACAACAACAACATTAGCTATAACCAGAAACACATTTTTTTTTGTAAGCCCAGCTTATACTGTATCAATTCACCTACAAAACTAAAACCTTATGCTAATTAACTTTTGAACCTTGTACTGCACATGCATTCCTGTTAGAGCAGTCATTATTACTAATTGCAATGATGTTTTAGTGTGGCTTGTGTTTTATAGTCACTGATTTTGTCAAATTACTAAGGATTCTGTATGGTCTGGTACAGGAAAAGGTCGGGGGGTGACACCACGAGTTACCGCACTGGGTGACACCAAAACTAGTGATGCCACTACTGTGAAGCACTACTATATATCTTAAATCTGTTGACAATGAGGTTGAAAAGAGCTCCCTTTAAAATCACATGAATACAACTGTTGTGCTTCCAAGAGCAAAACTAGACTTCATCTTTGTGAATGAATATATGCTTCCAAGCTCAAATTTATCCAAATAACATGAGTTGTGTTTACATAGGTTGAATTGCAGTTGCACTGGATGGATAGGGTGGTACTTACATTTTTCTGCTTTGCAAGGAGCCTGCCTACCCCAAGACATTGGGGCAAAACAGTCAAAATAAGCAGGTTTTTGGCCAGCTTCAAGGTGGGGTATTTAGATGATGCAAGGCTCAAAGCCAGCTGGAAACTGCTCCCAAACAAATGGGGAGAAAAACTGGATTAAAAAGGAACTGGATTTTTCCACTTCTTCCCAAAAAAGGCCCACATTCAACCTAAATGCCATCTAAATGCTGCGATGCCAGAGCTATCCTAACCCTAACCCTAGTTGTGCATATAAACGCCCCAACTCAGGAACTCATTTGGAAGGGATGGAGCTGCTGTACCCAAGCAGTGGGGCTGGCAATGCCCAAAAGAGAAAACATGACATCTCTCGTGGAGTTAAGTAAAACACAAACCAGTCACAGAGGGGCATAATGAAGGGGACCCCCATGATTTTGCCTTACTGGCATCTACATGGGCACTCCTCTGCTCCAATGCTCTATCCTGGTGGAACATTGCAAATGCGATTGTGTGCAGGTTCACAGGGACAGCCATCCAGTAGAATGGCAGTCACCGGTTGTTTGCTCCTGCAACGAGGCACAGGGATGGTGAGGGGGAGCAGTTAAAAAAAAGTACCCAGCAGCTCAGCTTGAAGCCGCACCATGCAGTCATGACATGGGCACTGCAGCCGCCTTGGGCGCGGGCAGTGCAGTTGGGGTTTCAATGCAGCTTCAGAAAAGGCAGCTTCAAGCCGCTTTTTCCTGCCCATCTGGTTCGCCCCATTCTTCCTAACTGCTTAAGCTTATTTACAATCTCAGGCCGGTCAGAGGGGAAAGAATGTAAATCCTGGAGGTATATGGAGGGATAAATGTTTATGTTAAATGTTAAATAAATGTTTATGTTAAATCTCCTTCTTCCACTTGATTATTGTCCCCTAGAAATCCCACCTTCATTATTTTGTTTTGCTTTACTTCATGCCTATCTTTTATATATTTTACTACTCCTGCAGTTATGTATTTCTGATATGAAAAACTTTACACTTAAGCCCATGTAACTTGTTCCTAGATCTCCAAGGGCTCTATAGGTCTTTCAGCTTTGCTGTTTGAAACCTTTCAAAGACAAGATGATGGAGACCAGGGCTGACCCAAGACATTTCACTCCCTGAAGTGGGATTGTAAATGGCTCACTTTTTCACGAAGTGAAGGTGGAAAGTACCAGAGGTATCAAGATGGCCGACATTATTAATGAGGAAGAACACACAAGCTAGGAAAAGCTGCAGCAGTTTGCTTTTGCTTAAGATTCTGCCCTCCCCTCTCCTCATTCCCCACTGAGTTAACTGTGTGCAAACTACTTTTGCAGTTTGAGCTCAGTTTGTGTCACTTGAAGTAAACTGAGGAGAGAAAAATCAGGACATTTTAAAAGCAGGTGAAAAAGTGGGACAGTAGAAGATTAATAGTGACTGTCCCTGCCAAATCAGGATAGTTGGAGGGTATGATGTAGTGAGAGAGCTTTCAAGTTCATCTGAACTCTTCTTCAGGCAAGATGTTAAGAAAATAAAACAAAAAGGGCCATGGGATCAGGGAAAGAAAGATGGGACAGTGCCAAAGCCTGCCATTTGTCACACTGTTAAGGTGCAGTGCAAGAGAACATTATGCAGACTTCATTAGGTTAAATTATGCTGGGTGCAAAACAGATTTCAGCTTGCATCAGGGGTGGATGGAGCAGGAGGGGGCTTCTTCATGTGATTGTTGCTGAAAGCAGAAAATCCAACATTTACTTACTTCTGCCTCCAGCCACACAATAGGCCTTTTGTAAGGCAAAGGATGAAGCTTTTGGTAGATAAGAACATGAATGAATTTGCAATGCTGAGAATGGACCAGAAGAAAGGCAGTTTCCTCTAAGAACTAGCTGGGGACCTCTTTGACACAGGAAGAAAGGAGGCAGAAGGACATGCAGTAAAGTGGAGAAATGCACAGTGCCAAGGCTGTGGCTACAGATTTAAAGGAGGATGGACTTCTAGAAGCACATACATAGAAGCAAGGAGACACAGATGAGTAGGGCACAGGTGCTAATGCAATCTTTTAAACTGTGAATAAGGTAGACTTTCCTGGAAAGGATCGCCTTAGAATTACAGTACCTACAAACAGGGTTCTCTTACCCTCATAGGTGCTCAGATTCCCCACCCAATGGATTTTATACTCCCCCTCCATCTCTAACTTCCCCCAAAAAGATAATTATTGCAAAGAAACATTACTGAGTTGGAAATATTTCCTTCTCCTCTCCAGTTCTATCTGTAGATTTGTTTTTGAGGTTTTCATGCATCTGAGGAAGTAGACTGAAGTCTACGACAGCTCATGCTGCCTATTTCTTTCAGTTAGTCTCAAAGGTGCTACAAGATCTCTCTACATACTGATTCTACAGACTAACACAGCTATATCTTTGAATTCTACCACTTTTAAGTCTTTGTTTTGCTGGTTTTCTTTTTGCTGGTTTTCTCTGATTTTAATGTTCTCCTCCTCTGTGTTTGTGTGTGCATGCACACATACGCATGCACAGACCAGAGCTGCACAGTGCCATAGGAAATAAAACTTAACTTGTGATGCATCATTAGGAGAGATTTTACTATCTACAGTGGCTCTCCACATTCACTGGGGTTAGGGGCACAGGATCCCATGAATGTGGGAAAACCACAAATAAAAAAAACACTATTTTTTAACCTGAGAGAACATCTGTCTCGGAATCTCTAGGTCCTCCAGCACTACTCTGTGCTCAACATCTGCCAGAGGTTGACCATAGAATCATGCTGGGGGACCTACAAATGATTAGAAAAGCATTTTCTCTAGTAATCTCTAGGTCTTCCAGTGAAACTCTATGGTCAACTTCCAGCAGAGTTGTGCTGGAGGCCCTAGAGATTCCTAAAGAGAATGTATTGATCAAATCCACAAATAATCAAATCCACCAAAATCAAAGCAGTAAATGTGGAGAGCTGATTGTACTTGCTTTGAGAGACGGAGTTTTCCCCCCTTTGCAGAGCAATATGTCATTTACATCGGGTAGGCAACCTAAGGCCCGGGGGCTGGATGTGGCCCGCCAAGGCCTTTGGACCGGCCCCAGGCTGGTCTCGCCGCCGCCACCGCCCCCACCATGATGATATTGATTATTGTTATTACTTGTTCTTGGGGTTTTCTTGGCAAAATCTCCACAGGGATTTTGCCATGGCTTTTCTGGGGCTGAGAGAGTGTGCATGCATAATTTTTAAATTTTTAATTTAAAAAAAAATATTTTTATTTATTTATTTACTTACTTACTTACTTACTTATTTTTGGTGCTTCGGCCCCCCAATTGTCTGAGGGACAGCAACCCAGCCCCCAGCTCAAAAAGGTTGCCTACCCCTGATTTACATTAACACTGCAATTAAACACATACCTACTCATAAGCCCAATTACTTCATTGGTATTTTCTGGTAGGTAAATGTGTATGGGATTGCAGCCTAAAGGAGATATTCTAAAAAGCCACTGGAATGCATAGGTTTTTAAAAAATGATAGACGTGTTTTTTTCAACTATTGTTGTTGTGTGCCTTCAAGTCGTTTCTGACTTATGGTGACCCTAAGGTGAACCTATCAATGGCTTTTCTTGGCAAGTTTCTTCAGAGG